ATATCTTTCATAGCAACAAGAAAGCCAACAGCTATCTCATAGTCTGTTAAAGGCTCTATTGAGAGGTTAGCATTTGAGCTCAATCTTGAACGATGGGTAGAATTTAGAAAAGATAGAAGTAGGATGGAAAACATGAAATGAAGTTCAGAAGTAGGATAATATGTGTTCAAGGCAGAGTGAGTTAGTCTGTATGAGCATAGGTTTCTTGGCAAGGAATACAGAGAGAGAATTTTTTAGAAATAGAAATTAGAACCAGATTAGAAGGCCAGGCTAAGGAGTTTGGTTACTCCCTTTTTAAGCAGCACAGTATACAGCTTAAGAACATGCTTGAGCTCTACAGACACACTGCTTAAACACTGCCTTTTCACCCTTTACTAGCTTGATTAACCTCTCTGTGCCTTTCTTTCCTCATCTGTCAAATGGGAGAAATAATGTACCGTACTCAAGGGTTTTGTGGTGGAATAAGCAAGTCAATACATCTAAAGTACTTAGAACAGTAAAGCTCATAGCAAGGACTCCAGAAATGTTTGACTCAGTAGCCCCAGGTCTGGGAATTTATGTTAATAAAATTGTAAAAAACAGTACAATTACATATATACACACAAGATTGTTCATAGAAATTATGCTCATGGTAGGGGAAAGCTGGATACATCATAAATGTCATCCAAAAATAGAAAATTTCTTAAGATTCAGTTGTACAATAATATAATATATACCCATTGAAATGATTGTGTATAATCTATATTTTCTGATGTGGAGATCCATTATTTATTGTTGAGTAAACAAAACATGTTACAGAACATTGAATCTAATAACTTCTCTTTAAACCAGGAATGTTAATAGTACCTGCCTAGTACATAGTGAGTGCTGAAACAGTGTTAAGCTATTATTCACAAGTAAAAAAGTCTGGAAGGTTGTGCACCATATTTAATAGATGATTTAATGATATGTTTGATCTAATATTTCTTCAGGGATCCAGTATTCCTTGTGTGATTTTAAAAATTCATCAGGTGGAAGAAAATATAAGAGCTTAATGCTACTTTCATAAAGTAGTCTCTCTCTCTTCATAGCCAGAATTAATCTCCTATACAAATCTACAAAGTACTCTTTCTGTTCTTTTGTGGTACTTTCTATATCTACCTTCTATTTTACATTGATGAATTTCTTCTCTTTCCTGCTAGATTATAAACTCCTTGGGCTCTGGGAGTAGCTGTTCTTTATTCTACATCCATTATAAAATGTCTCTCATATGACAGATTCTCAAAAATTGTTTGCTGAATGGAAATTAAGTATTTAAAAGAA